CATTAAAGAACTAGAGGAAAGTTATATGTTTCATCGTTGCTACCCTGCACCCTGATTAGCTCGTCTCCTCCCCACAACCCGTCAGCAGGGGGGTGTTCGGTTGCCAACCGATGGACTCTGAGTCTCCACTCTGTACTCACCCACCTTTGTATCATCCAGTTTTCACTTAGGTTATTTTCTAGACATTTTATTAGGATTTCTAGGGACAGAGCATTGAATTTATAGCTTTAATAGAAGAGACACACATTTACTTCTGTTATTGTTAGGTTCATCGAGTTGAAGCCGACTCATTCAGACCCTCTGGGACAGTAGACCTGTTCCATGTCTTTCCAGGCTGTAATTTTGACAGGAACAATGTCCAGATCTTTCTTCCATAGAGCCACGGAGTTCAGCTGCCAACCTTTTGATTAGCAGCCCAATGCTTAATCACTACACCAGCAGGGGTCCTTATGTTTAACAGTATGGTAAATATACAATGGAATTATGTACAAGAAAGGTGCATATGGTAATGAGTACCCATATCTTTCCATAGGAATCAGGGAACACTTCACAGAGAAGACAGCACATGATTTAAACATGAAGTAGATGTTTACTTGATGTCCATGCAGGCGAGGGCCCAATCCCAATAGAGTAAGCATCATGTCCAAATCCTGGCAAATTCTGGGTGCTACAAATAATAGTAGCTTACAATGAAGTCAGAATTTGGTTGATTGAAAGCATAAGAACAAGTTGGTTTAACGTCCTATAGCTACTGGTTTTAAAATATCAATGATTTTGGGATATTTGTGCATAATATTATGATTATTTCTCTTTAAGAAATTTCAAAATTCCTTTTTAGAATTTCTCCCCATTTTAATGTTGATTTCAACGCTAGCCAGCTTTGTGTGTGTGCGCATGTTCTCTGCAAGGTCAAAAAGATGGATAACCTAAGCATTGATAATGAGTATTAGCCAAGGGGGCAAAATTCAGCGTAAATATTAAATAGTAGAATCTCTATAATTAGTTGATATTTTAATGATGCAATTATACAATGAGGTGAGTTTGTTAAAGGGAAACCAAAATGCCACAACTGAATAAAAACATCAAGAATGTTCGTAATCTTGCTTATCTAGTGACAGACTGCTTTTCTGGTGTATGTCATTCTATAATCTTATCTAAATAAGTGTAAGTATGTGCACATATGCAAGGGGGTTCCAAACCATTTATGGAAAAATGGAATAAAAAGATAATGGAATATGTCCATCAACTTTTTAATACTCTCTTATGCACATACACACCTACATGTATTTAAAACAGAAGGGCATTGTATCATACATCTGATTTTGAAACCACCAAATAAACTCGTGTATAAGCTGAAATTTTCAGCACATTTTTAATGCCTTTTTTGTGGTAAAGCTAGGTGTCTCGGCTGATATTTGGGTCGGCTTATACTCGAGTATATATGGTAACCATAATTTAATTCATTTATGTATTTTGTGGAATTCACATAGTTCTTAGGATTTCCCTATTTGATGTATAGTTTCAACAGGGGACTTCAAATACAAAGTAAATGGCACAAAGTAGGCCTTAAAATTGTCTGATGTTTGTTAGATCATTTCTTATAATTGAAATAAAATCTTAAGTGTTCATAGGAAAGTGGTTAAATAAACTAAAGTTAATATTAAGGATGTAAAATATATACTGGCTAATGAAGATTGAGAGGAATGCTATGAAAATCAAAGCATTCTGTGAGGCTGGAGAGTACATAAGCACTTTTAAAAATAAAAATAAATGTTATTAATAAATATGATAAAGGAAAAAAGGCAGCAAAACATTTAAGGAATTCATTTAAAAGTTAAATACTCTTTGAGAGTTTCCGATTGTGTTAGTCTGGATATTTTAGAGAAGCAAATCCACAGAAACTCATGTATAAGAGAGAGTTTTATATAAAGGGTAAGTGCACATAAAGAAAACATCCCA